TGGGGATGTGTCGAGTAAGAGATTGCTACGGCTGAGGTCAGAGAGGTCTTTTCCTGCTTTCTCCTCTAAGGTTTTGATGGTTTCCTGTCTCACATTCAGGTCCTTTATCCATTTTGAGTTTATTTTTGTGAATGGTGTGAGAAAGTGGTCTAGACAAAATTTTTTAACAGAACAAAAAAAATTTTATCCATAAAGGTATAAAATAATTAATTGGAATTTATCAAAATTACTTCTGAGTATCAAAAATGCTGATATATTGAAAGCAATAAGATGTTTTTAACATCCACAACTAACAAAAGTCTCATATCTAGAGCACACAATGCTCATCAGAGAAATACAAAATAAAACTACAATGAAAAACCACTACATATACTTGAATCAAAAACACTGACACTTGGGGCGCCTGGGTGGCGCAGTCGGTTAAGCCTCCGACTTCAGCCAGGTCACGATCTCGCGGTCAGTGGGTTCGAGCCCCGCGTCAGGCTCTGGGCTGATGGCTCAGAGCCTGGAGCCTGTTTCCAATTCTGTGTCTCCCTCTCTCTCTGCTCCTCCCCCGTTCATGCTCTGTCTCTCTCTGTCCCTAAAATAAATAAATGTAAAAAAAAAAAAAACAACAAAAAAAACACTGACACTTGATAACACCAAGTTAATAAGAATGTAGAGCAACTGGAATTCTTACATTACTGATAAGAGTGCCAATTAGAAAATCCACTTTGGAAAACTGATAAAATCTATTAAAGCTGAGTATATATCTTATGACCCAGCAATTTCATCTTAAGTATAACCCAGCAGGAATATCTATATTAATGCACCAAAAGTAATACACAAATATGTACATAGCAACAATGTTCATTAAGGCCAAAAACTGAAAAAAATTCAGTTGTCTATCTATGTAACATGGATAAACTATAATCTATTCATCAGTGAAATGAATGGACTACTATATGATGAGATCTCACAAACATAACATTGAACAAAAAGAAGCCAGACTCAAAAGATAACATACCATATGATCCCACTTATGTAAAGTTCAAAAAGAAGCAAAAAACTAACCTATGTAATAACCAGGATAATGGTTACCTTTGAGGTGAAGAAGTGGTAACTAATAGGCACAAGGGGTGATTCCAGGATTCTGGTAAGTTTCTATTTCTTGATCTGGGTAGAGATTACATTAGTGTGTTTATATTGTGAAACTGTATTGAATTGTTCATGATAATGTATGCACTTTTCTGTACTGATCTTATTCTCAACATTTAAAAAACTTTAAATGTAACCAAATGTGTGACTTAGAAGTAGAGGCTATATGAAGGTAGCATAGATGCTATAGGCAAAACATGTGTAATCCAAACATTATGAACAATTTTTAGATAATTCCTAGCTAATTGTTATGTGATATTCTAAAACTGTTTTTAAAAAATACTGGGTTTAATACTTGGCCATTGTGTGGATGTAAGTATAGGGCCAAACTGTAAGATTATGAGTAAAAAATAATCACTATGTGGGCCACCTTTGCTGGATCTCTACAGTTCTACTCACATATGACATTTCCTTTCACCATCCTCCCCTACTACTATCCAGGTCCCATCTTCCACAGGCCAGTTCATTAGGTAATCAAATGTCTACATTATTTATCACTTCACATCTCTAACTAAAGCCACTAAAGTCAGTTAAACAGAATAAAACAGAATTCTGTTGTAATGCTACATAAATTACACTGTCTTTAATAGAAGAAATTTTCTAGATTAGTCTCAAAATTCTTTTTGAAAATAAGTCAATAAATACATAAATAAAAATACCCCCTACATCTAATATTTTTTCACTTTCTCAAATATTTAAACAATATTTGCTCTTCATTAGTCCTTTACATTATGCCACCAGACGAAGCCCTTTAAAAAAAAAAAAAAAAAAAAAGGAAACTAAAATATGTTTCTGGTATCAAAGAGGTGCTTGAATCAGAATTCATTCTCCTGATACTTCAACTTCACCAGTGAGCTAAAATTCCTTCCAAATTTTTCGGAACAGTGCTCTCACTGTTACTATCTCTGCAATCCATAGGATAAGCATTGGCCATTCCCCAAACTTCAGAACCATTTGCCATTTCACTGCTTTCCTCCCACACTCAAATGGCAGTAGTTCAATTTGGCAGTTTGTCAAAAAAAATCAGAGTATAAAGTGCTTGGTGATCTTTAACCAAATGCATTTGTTGTGTACACAGCATATGCCACATCTATCACATGATAATATGATTTCACACATTATAATGGAACACAGAGAAGGATATACTGCATAATCCTAGAAGCCACACATACTTTCTCTTTGAGACCTTCTCTTTAAAATAATTTGCTTTTTGAGTCAAAAACTGGGAACTTACTTTTTTAAAAAAAATATATGCCATTTCATGCCAATTATTGCTTTTATTTTTTCCTGCTGAGAATGACCAGTGTCTTACATAGTATTATGAGGTGGTTTACAAAAACTATGTTGTCAAATAGATCTCATTATCTGAGAAAAACAATACCAGAATAGCGTTCATATTCTTACGAAAACACTCAGGAAAGAAACCATATCTATGAGGGACACCTGGATGGCTCAGTCAGTTAGGCATCTGACTCTTGGCAGTAGAGAGATCGAGCCCAGCATTGGGCTCTGCACGGAGCCTGCTTGGGATTCTCTCTCTCTTCCTCTCTCTCTGCCCTTCTCCTGCTTGCTTGTGTACACGCACATACTCTCCTTCTTTCTCTCAAAATAAATAAACTTTAAAAAAAACCATAACCATGAGAGATAATTTGTCATAAAAACAAAGATAAAATCATTATAAAATTTTATAATACAAAATGACAAAATGATGCTTCAATTGTTTTATCTATTTAACAAACATCAGGTGGTTGTTATGTGTCAGGTACTTCTCATCACATAAGACCTGGTATTTGCCACCTTCACGAATTAAAAGTCTAGATTTATTGAACAAGTAAATCAATGCTTGGTGTATTGGGGTAGTAAATCCTATTAAAGGCAGATGCTCAGAGTCTGTGGGGACACAGAAGAGGGATATCTAAATGAGCATCACAAGGTCAGTACACACTTCCTAGAAAAGACCTGGGTTGAGTTTGGTGCAATAAGTAAGAATTGGCTGAACAAGAGGCATAATCCAAGTGAAGGGAATAGCTGATAATAGAGGTACAGAGGCATAAGGCAACATGGACCATTCAAAATACTTCAAATTCTTGTTTGGAAGCTGGAGAGGGGGCCAGAATCAGGAAATGAAAAGGGAGAGAATGATAGAAGCCAAATAATGCAATGCTGAGTGAGCTAGATTTATAAGCCTGAACCTTATCCAGAAAGATAATACCCCTAATCCTTCAAAAGCTTAAAAAGGATTTAAGTTAAGCAGGGAAGTAAAATAACTGTATTTTCCTTTTTAAAAGATGTATTTGGCTTTAGTATACAGTAAGGCTAATGTAATAATCCTGAATTCAGGAGGCAACATCAGTAATGAAAAAGAGGGAAAGATCTGAGAGACAAAAGGAGAAAGAATTTGTTGAACTTAGAGACTAATTGGAAGAGAGAGTGAAAGGAGAACAAAGAGTCTAAACTGACTTGGTGACTATGTGGATAATGGTACCAGAACAGACAAGACAAGATAGGGTCTAAAGTGGTAGGGGGTAGGGAGGAGTGATGAATTCATTTGAAATTATCTTTGGCATTATATTTGCTTCATATTTTCTGAAGAGACTCTGTAAAATATAAGTCATATATAAAGTATATAACAAATAAAAAATAAATCTCCTGTATTTGACCTAAGGTTTATTATAGCTAGTATATTCATTTTAATTATTTAATTAACTAACATTTTCTGATTTTCATAAAGTTATGTTGGGAAGGGAAATATATGAACACCCCAAGTCTCTTTTATAAAACTGAACATGAATATTTAAGTTTTCTTATCCTCTCAAGATAGTTTCTTGCAGCAAGCTGATATATAAATAAGGCAGTTCTTTTAAAAAGAGTCTGCAAATGAGACTTACATTCATTATGAAATTGTTGTATTATCATATGTAAGTAAATACATCAAAACGTGACATGTACACTTTCATTTTATAATATTCATATAGCAGCAACATGAGTTATGCATAGTTTATGCAAAGCATTTCTTTTTTAAGTTTAGAAAATCTAAACCTCTAGAAAATGAAAAAATAAAAAATGTACTTCTGAGTAGTCAGGTCTGTAACTTAATACCTCTAACTATTAACAAGGAACTTTATAATTAATTTATGTATGGACAAACACATCTTCAGCTTCATTAGTCATATGTCGTTATATTCTATGACAAAAAAAGGATACACTTCTCTTTGCTTACTATGGATAAACTATGGCATGTGAGGGGAAGAACTTGCCTGCAGGGACTCAACAATTCAAGGGAAGAACCAGAAGTAAGTAGTACTCTGAGTCTTAGAGCTGACTAATAAGCCACTCAGCTTCCCACAGCCAGCTCCTCAGAGCTCTACAGATAGACTAATAAACTCAAGTCAACAAAACAAAATGCTCACAAATCTAATTCCGTAACTAACACCCTAAGGATATACAGTTTGCTCCTGACCAGGACTAGAGTACTCACTTTCTTTGCGAACTTCCTCAAGTACAGTAGTAAGCTCTTCCTTTAAAACTGTGGCTTCCTGGGCAATCTTCTCTCCCTTGTCTAATAAATTCCAAGTTGCTTCCTCCACAGAAGCTAGAAGGACTCTGGCTCTTTTTGAACATCCTTTTTTCCTGTTAGAAGGATTCTGGGGACAATTTACAAGTGTAGTAACCTGAAATTGGAAAAACACAAGCCACTCATTAGACAAACTGTGAAAACACAGTCCTGGGACATCACAGCCCAAAACAAAAGAAGTATTTCATAGTAACACGATTTATTCCCAGTACTATTGGTACACCCTCATAAGTCAAGTCAATGAACCAAGACCAATATTATCAGCCACTATGGAATTTTCACCTAAAGATAAAAAGGAACGAAGGAAGGAGGTAGGAAGGGAGAGAGAAAGGGCAGGAAGAAGGAAGAGCCACAGAGATTGAAACTTACCAAGTTTTACTATGGAAACAATGCAATATATATATTATATATGTATGTATAAATATTCATATATAATAATTATTTATATCACTTTGTAGCCAGCAATCTATATTAAGAAAGAGGCAAAATAATCATAATTAAGTCAGTAAAGCATTAGTCTATTTAGGCTGAGAATAGACATTATTAATGTTGAGAGGGCACAGAACCACTCTGAAATATAAAACACTGGTTATCTCAGGGGGACCAAATTCAAATAATTACATATTGGCCCTTTGTAACCTCTCTTACCTGTCCCATACAGTCTCCCCTAATTCAGTAGGCCTCTCAAACAGGTCTTACCCAAAGTCACCTATCAAGAGGCCTTTCTTGACTACCCCATCCCCACCCTCTCTCACTCTATCCCTTCATCCCACTTTATATTTCCTCAAAACACTTACAGGGCCTGACTTTTTTTGTTTATATGTTAATTTCATGCTTCTAATACTAAAATGTAAATTCCATGAAAGCAAAAAATGTGTCTTTTCTCCAGCACCCAGAACAATACACAAAGTAAGTGCTCAATAAATATTTGTTATATAAATGGCTTAAAGAATGGGGTCATTGAAAAGAAGGGCTTTTTTAAAAAAAAGTTTAATTAAATTCAAGTTAGTTAACATACAGTGTAGTATTGGTTTTAGGAGTAGAATTTAGTGATTCATCACTTACATATAACACCCAGTGCTCATCCCAACAAGTGCCCTCCTTAATGCCCATCGCCCATTTGCCCCTTCCCCCCAACCACCTCCCTTCCAGTAACCCTCAGTGTGTTCTCTGTATTTAAGAAGCTCTTATGTTTTGCCTCCCTCTCCACCTCTGTTTTTATCTTATTTTATTTTTCCTACCCTTCCCCTATGTTCATCTGTTTTGTTTCTAAATTTCACAGTGAGTGAAATCATATATTTGTCTTTCTCTGACTTATTTCACTTGGCATAATACACTCTAGTCCCACTCACGTTGTTGCAAATGGCAAGATTTCATTCTTTTTGGTCACCAAGTAATATTCCATTCTATATATATATATACCACATCTTCTTTATCCATTCATTAGTCAATGGATATTTAAGCTCTTTCCATAATATGGCTATTGGTGATAACGCTGCTATAAACATTGGCGTGCATGTGTCCCTTTGAATCAGCATTTTTGTATCCTTTTGGATAAATACCTAATAGTGCAATTGCTGGGTTGTAGGGTAGTTCTATTTTTAATTTTTTGAGGAACCTCCATACTATTTTCCAGAGTGGCTATACCAATTTGCATTCCCACCAACAATGCAAAAGTGTTCCCCTTCCTCCGCATCCTCGCCAACATCTGTTGTTTCCTGAGTTGTTAATTTTAGCCATTCTGACAGGTGTGAGGTGGTGTCTCATTGTGGTTAGAGATAGAAATTAAGCAACTGTATTTGGAAGCAAAACCTCATACAAAATTACATTGTAAAAAATACCCATTTCTTAAGTAAGCCTTGGATACCAATAATAAATTTATTTAACATTTTTATAAGCAAAGCTGGAAGATCCCCATTGTAGATGAAGGAAAAAAACACGTCTTTTCAGTATTTTAAATAGAAGACCTGGGGGCATCTGGGTGGCTCAGTCAGTTAAGCATAAGACTTCAGCTCAGGTCATGATCTCATGGCACAGGGGTTTGAGCCCCACGTTGGGCTCTGTGCTGACAGCTCAGAGTCTGAAGCCTGCTTAAGATTCTGTCTCCCTCTCTCTCTGCCCCTCCCCCACTCGTGCTCTGTCTCTCTTGCTCTCAAAAATAAATAAACATAAAAAAATTTTAAATAAGTAAAATAAATTAGAAGACCTGAAATTCCTATGGAAAACTAGAATCGAGCATATCATCAAATAGTCAAGGCTTATAACAATCATGCACCACATCTTTGAGAACAGACTATACATAACCTTCCTGTTCTGCAGCCCCTAAAGGTTTGGCTTGTTTATTGCTTATGGAGCATGACATATTTGTTCATTTATTATGTCTGGACACAGTTTTTTAGCTAGGAACTGAGAAAGAACTTACAAGCTATGGGGGAAATACGTAGATGAAAATAATTTTTGTCTGCCCTTTCAATTCTCCTCCTCCATCCAATAGACCTATTGCTATATTCTAATTTGCTTTATTCTCATGTCTACAACCCAGAGTGCAGTGCCTTTGTTTCCTCTCTTGGAAAATGAGATCATGTTACCTATAAGACTGTGTGAAGGTTAAATACGTAAAATGTCTTGTAAAATGCATAACATGACTCAAATATTGGTTGATATTTAATGTACATTTTCTAGTCCATTCCCCACATGGATATAGAAAATCTGTTATGGGATCCTACTTAGAGGTGTTCTCTTGGGGCTACCCTCATCTTGCTCTAAGGGGGTCCCGTGTGCTAAATGTGATGAAGTCAGTTAACAAAGCACCTCCTATATGCTTTGCAAGCAGCCAAATAGGGCCACATGTCTTTATCATGCATAGATGATAAAGATGATAATATGCCTGAATTATTACATGGATTTTCACATACTCCAAAACACAAATATCTCACTACTGTCAGCCTAATTTATACATCAAGAATTAAAAGATATTTGTCCAGATTAAGACAAATTATAGCACCTAGTTTAAATCTTTGTGTAAAATGAAGAATAAGTATCATTGTCTAAATGTTCCTTCAGAATGTATTTTAAGTGCCACAATTCACAACGCTTCCCACTGAACATTCCTCTATTATTGTTCAGATCCTCCCTGCGCCAAATGTTTTCCATAGAATAGCCTGAGCTTTGAAATTAAAATGAGCATTCCAGAAATGCTTTGTTCCTTATAATAAATGCCAAAGAACTGTGAAAAGAACATTGTATAAGAACATTGTGCTTCCATCAAAATAAATGCAATTGCAACCTGCAAGCTATCCACATTTACCAATCATTTATACCTATGTCTTCTTCTGAAATACCCCAATATAGTTATTTAACACTGATTAAATTAAAGTCAAGTGACACTTTCAATGATTCACTTTATTTCAGAGAGTAAAGATGGCTTGGTAATCCTGGGGGGGGGGTGGATAAAGAAAACGAAATCTTTTTTTTTTTTTTAACTAACTTATCTTACAAGATCTAACCAACTTCCTTCAGTAACTGTGACTCAGGATGACAGATGACTCTCACTAAAAGTTGCTAGTGCATTTGTTATTTGAAAAAGTCTCCCATCTCTTGAAGGAGTATCAGTAAAAATTAGTTTTCAGGTTATTCTATAAAATAATTCCTGTTTCCCCATTTTCTTTTTCAGTCAAAATCAGTTATATATTTTTTTTAAATCAGTTATATTTTTATAGGCAACACAAAAACTTTAGTTGGAACTTACAGCAAAGATGATTGTAATGTAAATCCTAGCTTATGTCTTATTAACCTTTCTTTTTGTCACTAGTGTACAACTCTCCCCATTCTTCCTTTCTGTGACCTTAGGTGGTCCCTCTCAAACAAAAAAGCTTTGGCTCCCCAAGCTCTCTGAGAGCTTGGGTTCACTTGCTTTTCTTCAGTATGTAAATCTGAGCTAGGTTACAGCACACCTTCATACATACATGTGGGAATGAGCTCACCAGGTATATATTTAATGTTTTGTAATACCTATATACTAAAATTTATAGTACCATAAAAAGGGTTTTCTAATCTTTCCTAATTCTGGTATGTTTCTCTGGGTGCTCCAAAGATACTGAAAATTACATTGAGATGCTTAGTGAACCAAGCCATCAACTGTCATTATATATAGAGCAACACTAGTGCATAATAGGAGCATTGCAGAATATGGTGTGAGGTTTAATTTACTTTGATGTGTTGCATTAGTGCAACAATGGCTTTAGTACTTCAGATCCTAGCTTTGTAGAAAATCTTCTCTAAATGCCCACTTGGGTTAATACATTTATATTCTATAACCATGTTCTTTCCTAATCTATTTTTTTAATTCTACTATCATTGTAGTATAAAGAGGCCATGTTAACAGCCATCTCTTTTCCTGTTTGTTAGCTAAAACACTTTGAATTTTAACCTTCTTCCAATAGCTTCAAGGGCTACTTTTGCTTCCTTGAGTTAATTTTAATGTGTGAAATAAAATAGAAGACATTTAAACCATGTTAATTAGCTAAAAATTTCAAACAGAGTTCTGAAAGAAAGTAAAGGTTAAAAATATAAAATTGTTATATACAATTGTTTATAGTAAAACCAGTGATCTTTTAAAGAAAAAGATATCATCTACTCTTGGGAAGGAGAGGATCCCTTCTTCAAGTTACTGGTAATTTCAACTGTTCTTTATTTCTTACCAAAAACAACCTTCACCATGTTAACAAAAGCACTGTGGAGGACTGAAGTATTGGAAATCCATCAAATGTATACCACTCAACTGGCATTTAACATTACCCCTAAACCAACTACAATCTTCTTTTAGATCATTTCAGCCAATAAACACTTATTGAGCACATATTATGTTCAAAACAATACCCCAGACATTTAGAAAATAAAGATGAGTAAGCTCCAGTATGGTGATGAGAGATACACAACTAGCTGCAATATAACAGGCAGAATGTAACTGCTTAGGCTTACAAACAAAAAAGAGAGTGCTGAAGAGATTGCAAACATTCACAAGGATTAAGTAGGGCTTCCAAGAAGAGCCTTTAAGAACAGACAGTTTTCTACCAGGACAGATGGCGGGTAAGAAAG